TATGGACAAATTTGAGAGTTGCCAATTTATTAGATACACCTGAAAAACCAAAACTTGCAATAAATCCCTCTTCATGACGGTTATAATGTCCACTTTATATTGAGATGGTGATTTAACCATGTGATCATTGCAGTCGTGTCATCTGCAGTATTATTTCTTTTAATTTAGCCTGAACCCACTGGTCAACAAAAACACATTTCAGCACAACGTAATGCGATTCAACAGCACCACAAACGGAAGCCTCTGAAATAACCAGACAGCTGAACCAACGGCTTTCTAATTTAAACTAAAATAAGACAACTGCAGAAGCAGCTGAGCACACACACATTTCATGAATGTTAAGAAACAACACATAAATGGGAATATTTTCTGGTTAATACACTGAATAAACAAGCACCCTGGTGGGCTCCTGGTTAAAAGAACACACCGCCTAATGGCAGCATCCACATATTGATTCTGCCTGAGGACCTTTGCTGCTGCATGTCACACCACCACCTCCCTCACTCCCTCCATGCTTCCTGCCTCTCTACACTACGGCCTCCCAGATGAAAATGGTGGGGGTAAAAAACTATTAAACTATGTTTCATTACATTGATGGAAACATCATAAAATACGAGCATAAATCAGTCCCGCTCAGTGATTTGCAACACAGATATTAAAAGATTACATCCAAGTCTGTTTACAGCTCTTGTTTGGCTTTGCAACCAAATCCATGACGGCAACGTCAATAGATGCTCGTCGAAACGCAGCCGGTCGAATATTAGAAGTTAAAGCGCCGCGAGATAAACAGAAGGAAGGAGGTTCACAAAACAGCAAAGGGATGTAATTGAAATATCATCATCCAGCTGCTTCTGCACAGGTGAATGGAGACGATTCAAACAATTATGCAAAAATCACTGCGATCAGCTCGTATAATTGCAATGAGGTGATTGTGCAATAACTGTGACAGGCCTGCTCAGGGCTGGATGTGTGATAAAACGCTGAATGAAGCCCTCAGAGGGAGTCGGTCTGATAAAATTCATTGGAAGGGATTGAAAAGTGCACAAAGCTGCACTAGCTGCTGCTAGCATTGCACAGCAAGGATCTCTGAATGAACTGGTGCTGATTGAGGTGCATTGTGGGTAATGTAGGCACCTGGTTTTGGCAAAAATGAAGCATGCATGAATGAAAAAGTGGATTTATTTTCTAAAATGTGCACGTTTTTAGTCTGATACTGCTGCAGGAATGCAACGCTCAAGTCTTTAAGAAGAAGGCTGTGTGAGTGTAAGAGGACCTCATGTCATGGTGCTGAGACCAAGTCGATGCTTTTGTAATCACATTGCAGCCATCGATACACAGATACGCACCAAACACAAAGTGTTACGAGGATTCTCAGAGTAAACTCATCAGATATACCTCCATCATCCGCCGCCTCTCTCTCGCTTTTCATTTCCTCTCCCCCTCAGCTCACCGTCTCTCATTTTTTCCCCCCTTGCATCATCTGGAAATGTCACTCACACTGTGAAAAGTGAAGCGAGCCGGCTGCCTGTTTATACCGGAGATAATATTGTCAGAGAAAATAAACTTGTTCATTTGCCGCCTTTCATCATGTGTGTGAGAGTGATGAGACTAAATGTAATATTTCATATAAATTACACATTACCCGAACAGACCAGGCGACGTCTGCCGGAGCCTGCAGATGTCAAATCCGCTGAAATCTGGAGAGTTATGCACATAAAACTCAAGCTGCTACCAGCAAAGTTTGGATTTCTGTGTACAAAATAGCAGATTTGCACGGTCTACTCCAAAAGGCAGAGGAGGCCTTGGGCGGGATTCTCGCCTTTGGTGCGGCGATACAAACAGCAAACGACCGCTGTGGAGACCGTTCTGCAATATAAAAGCACGACGGGACTATTTTACAACCATCACCAGAAATCTGCTATGCCCCCTGGACTCTCTTTTATAGCTTTAGACTTCTTAGAAGTCAGCCCCGAGTGAATTTAGTCTCATTTGGAATAAAGTGTGATCCACGGTGCTGCATCGGTGCTACATCTTATAATTTCAGCAGCAGAGATTTGCTCCCACAACATCCGAGTGTGTGCTTATTGACGGCAGGGAAAATGAAATAGTAAGAGGATTTTAAATGAAAAATATATGAAAATCAAGCATGCATGTTAAAATATCATGGATCCGGGCATGTGTTGAGAGAAATGACCTTGATAATACATAGTGTACAGCAATCTTTCCCCCTTTCAGACTCATGCTTACACAATCCAGCTAAACGCCGTCCCTTCCACAGGGGCAGAAAAGCTGCTTTTCAATTTAAACCAGATTAGTCAATAAAACATCACATCCATTTTGTTTTCCCGGGACACAGTGAGTGATGATGTGCCTTAGGAAAATTAACTTCACAGTTAAGCCCTCTGTTCTCTTATCTTTCACAATATTGTGATAAGCAGTTGTGAAAAAAGTATTTAAATGCTTGAATTTTTAAAAAATGCATTTGTAGAAAACATACTAATGAGTTCAGATGTGACTTATTCATGGTGAGTGATAGATCCAATCAGCGTTGCGGTGCGTTATTGTTGCATCGTGTGTGAGTGACGGTACACAACACAAAACCATGTCCTCTGTGATTAAAGGCTGAACCCATAAAACACTGCAGTAACTCTAAAGGCTTCATACACTGCCGCCACGTTATACTGTCAGCTAAAAGCACGCTGATGCTATTTTTCCCAATTAAAACAACAATAAACTTTTTTTTGCAAATGTCCAACGCTGCATTAAAACCTACACATTGCTCCAAAACAAAAAGGGGTGAAAGCAACAGAACCAAATGAATCACACAAAACATCGCTGCATGAATTAACCCAAAGACTTCATCCAGTCTGCAAACATCCAGACATTTCTAGAAAGACAGAGCTTCCAAAGTGTTGTTTGTAGCTTTTATGTGCTACTGGAGGCGCTCAGAGCTGAACATCATGCAGCATGAAGAAAACATCCTCACAAGATGATTAATCGATTAGTTGCCAACTACTAAACTAATAGATAATCTATTAAGCATTTTTTGGGAAGAAACACAGCTGGAATTCTCAAATCCCAGCTTCTTAAAGGTTAATATTTTCTGCTTTGGTTTCTCCTCTATGACAACAAACTGAATATCTTTGGATTGTGAACAGAACAAGACATCTGAGGACGTCGTCTCAGGCTTCGGGAAACACTATTGTTTTGTTTTTTCTATCCATTTCTGACCAAACTAATAAAAAGTACTGAGAAGAAATGCTGTAGAGTGAGAAAACACAGACGCAGAAATGTTGCTGGTAGCTAAAGTGTATATTGCCGTTAACCCTGCAGCGCTCTAGTGGCGATGCTTTCTTAGTTTAGTCTGTTTGCATGTGTTTTCTTAAGCTGCAGTTGAATCACAAACCCTCCGTCATGGCACACAAATATTTAATCAAGAAACTAAAAAGGTACGACTTCTTGACCTTCAGAACAGTGCTTCAGTAACAAGTCACAGATCAGAAATGTCAAAGCAAGTCCATGATGCATGGAGTTAATGAGGTTGTTAACTGTGGCTTGTGGGATGTTGTCAGACTCTTTTCGAAGGGTTTGGTGAAGTTGGTGGACATTTCAGGGAACAACGACGCGCTGGATCAGGCTGCCTGAAATGCATTTCTTCGACGACAGATGGTTGGAGTCGTAGACATTCGAGTGCCTGACTACGGCCTTTATTGACATGCCAGCATCCAGTATGCAAACAGCCTGCTCTCGTCTTTCTCCTGTCATCGGCCGCATCGTGTCATTTGAGTACAAGCTGCATTTTAAGGAGGCCTTTCATGGTCACCAGTCAAAGGAGCGTCTGTGTGCTGGTCGTGCAATCGTGAACGCACTTGACGGGGGTATGGATTAACCGAATGGTCGAGAATCTGTCACCAGATGAGCAACACAAGAACCTATTTTCTGCACATTTGGCTAACTTTAACCCTTTTCTCACTAAAAAGCAACAGAAATAAGATCTGTAACTTTTTCTCTAAGTCACCAAAGAAGATCATTTGCATGCTGTGTTGATATTTGCTTGCAGTGCTACTTTGCACCTCTCGCAATAAGAGAGGTTTGATTTCCAGAATGAGGACATTCACCTTCTAAACTAACCACTGATGCATGCAGCCAGCCTCTAATGAAAACCATCCGGCCGGCTACAGTACAACAGCAACACCAGCTGATTAACTGTCAGCCGCCTTGAATATTCACACAAGTGACTGATGCTGCTGCTGCTCATGATGATGGTGATGATGATGATAATGAAGATGACCGGTTGTAGTGTCAGCTCTGCTTCCACTTCACCTCTCAGAAACCCTGCCACCAACACCACCACCACCACCAGAGCACCAATGACATCATCGCCATCCTCTTCATCATTATCAGTCCCGAGCTGCCAGACAGCATCATCACCTTACCTCCCTGTGCTGCAGCCTGCCACTGCTTCTGCTCCAAACAGAGAGGAAGGAGACTCCTGCACGCAGCTCGGACCTCAGAGGTGATCCTCAGTCTCCTCCTGAGAAACCTCCCCGCACTAACTCACTCACTTGGCCGCAGCCTCTATCTCGTTAGAGCGGATTAAAGCCTGACGATGAATGGACGTCGCTGCTCCGGCTTTAGTCCACTGAACTACCACACCGAGGGGTCAAAGCGGGCTCATTAAAAGGCTACACACTGTACCCACTGTTTATCAGGACGGCTGGACATGCAAGGAGGGGGAAGCGTTTCCAGGATTGCTCGCACGACAGGGGAATTAAAAAAAAAAAACAACCCAGCTTGACAGCGCTAGAAGGGCAGCAGCGAGGAGAAATCAGATGACAAACATGGAATGCTGCATTTAAGCCTGTTGATAGAAGGATATTAATTGACATTAGGACTGGGGTATTCCCTGCCTCTGTCGGTGCAGCATCGTGCGCAAATCACTCTCATAAAAACCGGCCTCCTAAATGAATCCCAAATCCGCTGCAGGTGGAATCACGTACCTTCATTGCACCTCCCGTTTGAGGAATCTGCCGAGTAATGTCAGGACGACGACCATTGCAAGTGCACAGGGAATCAAACCATTACGTCTTCCCTCTCTCCAGCTGCCAGTGTGTGTGGAGTAAGCATAACGTAATGGCCAAGAGAGCCGCAGCCAGTCAGAGAGAGCACACAGGCGTTGGTATCTTTAGCAGCCAATCCGCTTGTGCGCATCTCCAAAAGTGGGCGTTCTGGTGCCGTGCGTAAAGACGCATGTGAGAGACGCATCATGCTATTTCCACAGCGTTGGTTTATTCTAGTGAATTGGCTTTTTTTTTTCACCCTCACCAGCAATAAACAAGATAAACAAGATGCTCAGTTCCAACACATCATCATGCAAATTTAGCAGATTTTTATTTCTATTTTTAATCTCAAAAATAAACCTATAAACTGCAACTGAACTTGAGGAACTGTGTCTCTTTCATTGCCTTCTTTCAACAAGACGAGCTTATCTCCTGCACCAGTACACTCGGTGTTATTTCTGTTTGTTTCTTACCAAAAATAAATGCGTCTACAATCTTATTTACCGCCATATTTAGCCTGTGTGTGTGTGTGTGTGTGTGTGTGTGTGTGTGTGTGTGTGTGTGNTGTGTGTGTGTGTGTGTGTGTGTGTGTGTGTGTGTGTGTGTGTGTGCATGTCTGTGCCAGTGCGCACAAGGCTGCCGTCTGCAGTAAGGAGATTACAGGGGGTTTTCTTCCATTACATCTCCAGTACTCGCCCGGAGCCCGCAGGGGGCAGCAGATAGCGTTGCAATATCATTATTATCATACAGACATAACCGAGCCGCAGGGAGGAAAGGGTGTTCATGATGTTCTTAATGCACAGTGCAGCAAAAACCATATAGAAACTATAAGTACAGCAGATGTTGCAGCAGTGGTGCAGGAGAAAATTTAAAGGTGACTCTCACAGGAATGTCTGGGATGCATGAAGTCTCTTTAAATTCAGTGCCAGTACATCAAACAGTGACCCAATGTTGACTTTATTTCACACAAATACATTAAAAAAAAAAGATCTGTGGGGGCCTTCGGGCCAGCAGTGACACACTTTAGAGCTTCAGATTTGGCCTGAATATTCTTCCACTGTGCAGCGGATGGAAGAGAGCGACTCCTCCTCATATGTGGAGAAGGCAGCCAAGTGAAAAAGGTCAGTTAATCTCAATTATGACATATTTTCTCACGTACCTTTGAGCAGTGCAGATGCTTCTGGTTTCATTTGTCCAGGTTCTCACAGAGCTATATTTAAAGATAATTTAATAACAGGTTGGCAATGACAGTAAAAATAAACAGCAACATCTCTTTCCAGAAACAGTGTCCCCCTTTTTTTTCTTTCTGGGTAATCCACAGGGCTTCACTGTGACTGTTTCTCTGGCAGAAAGTGTTTCCAATGAAAAGAGGATCATCTGGAGTAACTGGGACACTGTTTCTCAGAAGATACACGGTTTGCTGATTTTTGGTAAATGTCATTTTTTTGATGCCGTGACCACAGACGGCTCCTCGTATCGGTTGCGAGTCTGGAACTAAAGTGTCTAAATGTGCCAAAAATAAACCAATGCATTATTTTATTGATGTGCGGGGGGTTCACAGAGTGAAAGAAATGTGATAAAGTGAGAACAGAAAAAAAGGCCTCTGGAGGAAGTCAAGTCATAGAAATAAATATTCAAAGAGACATCATCTTTCTGGGTGGAAAAAAAATGTCCATTTATTTCTCCCCTAACAAAACACAGTTGGTCCTGTTAATGTCCTCCTTCCTGCCCAGTCCCAACCTACCACTCAGTGGGAGTTTTGTTTGCTTTATCCCATGTTGTCCCTTTCCTGCATGTTTGTTTGTTTCTGGTAAGCCACACAGAAGGAGTTTCGGTTTTCTCTCAGGCTTCGGGGAAAATGAAATCTTCCTCTTCATTATCGGCTTTTTAACATGACAGAAGCGGCATTTATAGCCAAAAGAAAAGAGCATTTTCTGGTCAGCTGCCATCACACGGCTGCAACTAACAGCTTAGAACATAGTTTTCCCACAACAACTAAAAAAAGAAGTTGACTTTTGTGGTTAGAAATTGTTGAAGTCACATTTGTTGCTCAGTCTTGAGTTCACATCCTTGAATTCAGAGAAGCGTTTCCCCTCTTCAGCGGATGAAAGTGAAAACAGCCTTAAGTGTGAAACTGTGTACGCACTTGATTCTGCACAGTCAAACATCCAAGTCAACCATCAATGAGCAAAACCCATTTTTGAGTAGAGAAGGGACGGCTGAAGGAAGCTCCATAGTCAGTGTATTACTTACAAAAGTGTGAAGGAGCAGACACAAGACAAAACCAACCAACTGTTGAGGACGTTCTCAGCAACTAAACATGTTTCAGCCACCTGGAAAAAAGAAAAATAAATCAATATCAGTTTAATTGTTCGCTATATTTAGAGTATTTTCACAGCTTCACCTTGCTGTCAGACAGAAGCACCAACAGTGGCCTGAAACTGTAATTTTACTTTGATTGTTTTCGTGCCTTCAGTGTTTTAACACATTAGCTTCTCGGCTAACATGTTAAAACACCAGCGTCACACAATAACGGCTCCCGGGTTCTGTGAGGGGAAAATTACTGTTTTTGCTGCTCTCGTGGCTCCGAGGAGAGAAAGATAAGCTTCTATTCCCCGTTGGAAAAGGCTGAGTGATGAAATTTTCCAAGTATAGCGAGCACTCAAAGCGATATAGATTTTTATATATGTTGTGCTGCTGACCCTGAGGTCACCGCTCAGCTTCCATGCTGCTTTATCAAACAAGCTGACAGTCATGTACTATAAAAAAGTAAAAAATGACTTCTAAAAGGCCAAGATGATGTCTTAATATTGCCGTTTCCCCCCCCAATAAGTGTTAAACGTCGGATATAAAACAAAGAAAAGCAGCATATTGTGACATTTTAGAACCTCGTACCAAACAACCTTCAACAGTTTATCTGTCTCAGTGATTTAAACGCTGCTATTTGTTCATTTTTGTTTGACGGCTTCAGCGTTTTAAGCTTGAGAGACAAGTGGACGCACACTTACAGGAAATCCTCCTTTTCTTCCCACACAGCCTGTCTCTCATTAGTATCTGTGCCGCATTCTGACAGCTACCTCCCGTGTTGCACAACGCAGCTGAAACACAACCTCATTCATCCACTCGTTCTTTCTGCAATCATTGATGCTCTTTATGATAAAGTTGGACACGTCATTGAGAGGTTTTACTGGAAAACATGTTGGGAAAATCACAGCTTGATTCTGCAGAGAATAAAGCCCGACCCAGCACCTTCTTGGTTCTGTTTTTAGATCATTTCCAGGGAAGGTTTCTGATGGTTTAACTTTACAACTTTTTAAAGTTGGATGAGAACCAGACGACAAGTTCAAACCCTGTGTGAGGATTACTGGCTTTTAAAACTCTGGGAGAGAGTCCAGCACCTATTTGTCTTCAGGATTGTGTAACATGAGCACACACACACACACACACACAGACACACACACACACATATGCAATAATCACCCCCACCATCACCTCACAGCACCCAGCGTTTCCCACACACATACATATGTAAACACACACAGATGCTGCGTTTAATCAAACACATGAACAAACACAATTTTGATTTTTCAACATTAACTCCCACGTAAACATCCTATTCTTCTGACTTCATGTGAAACTACTCAGCGGTCCTTCCTGGCAAGAACCGGCCATGTGTGTTCACTTAATGCAACAGAACAACAGAGTCCAGGGTTTGCCAATATTTCAGTTATGAAATGTACTGATCTGTGCTCCTGTTGAGGTCAGGGATATTTAATCAGCGCAGACGAATGGAGTTGACTTCAGTGTCACTTTGCAAAAACATTCAGCTGCTTCTTGTACCAACAAGCCCGACTGGGAGATGGAGAGGTTCTCTGTGCTGCCACTAGATGGAGCGTGGATGCTTCCTAAAGATCCACTGCTGCCGCCGGTCTGCTGGATGCAAAGTTCACAGCTCTTCTGTAAATACTGGCGAACTCGCAAGTCAAACAATTACAAAACAAATACAATAATAATGAAAGCAACATTTTTGCAATGTCTCTTAATCTCTTCTGCTTTCTGTATTGATTGTGTCTTGTTTGTGCAGCACTGTTTAAAGAAATGGTGCATATGTCAAGTTTGCTCACCAGAGGTACAACTTTAGAGATATCACATGCATCACATTTCAGAGCCAGAGTGAGTAACTTTAAAGTTCAGTAAAAGGTGGCATGGGATAAACTTACAACGAAATCTGCTGCTTTGACAGAAATAAAGCCGTGTTTGGTTTGTAGTG